GGATCGCGAGTCGTGTTCAGTAATTTTTCAAGGGGTCACCAAAAAAAACAGTGCCCTCGGGAGAAAGGCTATAACTCCATGACCCTTTGACTTACGACGCTCAAACTTTAACACAAAGTGGATGAAGAGTTGTGCTACCTTTCCTGTAAGTTTCAGAATCAAAGGTCACGGGAGTAAAAAGTTATACAGGGTCACCGAACGGGGACACCCCTTCTAACCCTAACCCTAACCCCTAACCCTCCCAATTGGGGGCCTATTTGTACATGCGCGGTCCCATAGAAACAGGCCCTTGGTCTACGTATTGGGTCGTGGTTAGGAAAGAAGTGGGCATATTTAACCCTTTCATCCGTAGGATAATCTGTGCCCTTTTTCTCACTTCTGCATATTCAGGTCTTGTATTTCGTATGATTCCTATCGTCCAGAGTGAGGCAGAAAGTGATTGACGGGTCTTTTCCCTAGAGACATCATCCGTCTCTGTAAACGATCACAGACAGACACTCCTCCATTCGTATGAATTTGGTTTGCATTGGGGTCGCGGTTCAACAGTTACAGCCGATTTAAGTCTTCCCCATTGGTTGTGTACAAACTTCATACTTGGAAAAACTAGCGCTACGGCCCTATGCAGTAATGCACATACAATATGGCTCTACTCTATACCCAGCCTAAAGGGAACAACCCACAGGATATAAAGTGGTACCATTCGAAAGAGTACCTCAAGGCAAACAACTTTTTCTCAGAGTCCATCCTCGTATCACGTACAACACCAAAGTTATGACGTCACTTCCGGTCAATTTTTTAAAAAATAAAGAAAAACATAAGAAATTTTTTTGGTCCCAAAAGATAGCCCTTGGCCTGATTCGGATGCAAAATACATCCAAACCTAGTCGCGAGTCATTTTCAGTGATTTTTCAAGGGGTCACCAAAAAAACAGTGCCCTCGGGAGAAAGGCTATAACTCCATGACCCATTGACCTATGACCCTTAATCTTAAACACAAGGTAGATGAAAAGGTTTACTATTTTTCCTGTAAGTTTCAGGGTCAAAAGTCACGGGACTCAAAAGTTATTCAGGGTCACCGAACAGGGACACCCCTTCTAACCCTAACCCCTAACCCTAACCCCTAACCCCTAACCCTAACCCTAACCCCTAACCCTAACCCCCTAACCCTAACCCCCTAACCCTAAGCCCCTAACCCTAAACCCATAACCCTAAACCCCTTACCCTAAACCCCTAACCCTACAGGGGCCTAGTTGCACATCTGGACCCCTATAGAGATAGGCCCTTGGGCGACGTATTGGGTCCTGGTTAGCCAAAAATTGGGTCATATTTAACCCTTTGCCCATGATGATACTTCTTACCTTTTCTGATTTCCCCACATTGACGTCTTGAACATCCCTTATAACAATTAAACAAATAAACTTGACACGTCATACGTACAGACACTCCTCCTTTCGTATAAATTTGGTACACATTGGGTTCCCGGTTCAACAGTTATAGCCGATTCAAGTCTTCCCTATTAGTTGTGTACAAACTTTATACTTGGAAAAACTGGTGCTACGGCCCTATGCATTGATACACATACCCTATGGCTCTACTCTATGCCCAGCCTAAAGGGAACACCCCACAGCATATAAAGTGGTACCATTTGAAAGAGTACCTAAAGGCAAACAACTTTCCCTCAGAGTCAATCCTCGTATCACGTACAACGCCCAAGTTATGACGTCACTTCTGGTCAATTTTTTTTAAAAATAAAGAAAAACATAAGATTTTTTTGGTCCCAAAAGATAGCCCGTGGCTTGATTCGGATGCAAAATACATCCAAACCTGGATAGCGAGTCATTTTCAGTGATTTTTCAAAGGGTCACCCAAAAAAAACAGTGCCTTCGATGATTGTAAATTCATATTTTACAAACTATAACAACCCCGTTTTATCCCTAGATACTATAGACGTCGCTGCTCAAGTGTTCATGTCGAATTAACGGACTCCATGTCTTACGAAAGGTTTCCGTAATCATTCCTTCAAAGTGTACGTTTATTTTTTTCTTTCCCATGTTAACCAGTTGCTTTCTTTTTTAACTCACATCACAAAAAAATGTATTTGCCGTTGGCATGTGATACTCGTGAAATATGCAATAATTCACCAACATCAGCACAACGGCAAAACCCTCAGTCATGCAAATCAATCACCAACGTTAGCATACAGTTGGCATGCCGACGTAAGTGCATACTGGACACTAAACGTCAGAGCGCAACGTCGGCAACTCAACGTCAAATAAACAAACCAATAGCCAACGTCGGCACGAAGTTGGTATGCCGACGTCAAATTGCATACAGGACGCTATTATGTCGGCTCAAGGTCGGCAACCTCAGTGTCGATGATACAAACTAATTACCAACGTCGACTGAACGTTGGCACGGCAGGCCAACGTTGAAATTTGACCATTTCTTACCAACGTCACAACAACGCCAGAAATACGGATGTGACGATTGCCGACGTCGGCCTCAGTGCTAGCTGGGAAAATGCTATGATGTACAAAGTGAAACCATTTTGAAACGCTCACTCAGGGCCAAATGCAGTGAGTTATCTACATTTACATGTACATGTTGAAATAACCATTCTCTGTGTCCGTGACTTTGACGTTGTGGGCGCATTTATTATTGACACAGGCTCGGGAGACTGCATTGTGTTACGCACGACTATAGTGTCGTGGGTAAGGTTACAACTCTCGGTCACGTGTGTGTATGTGGGGGTCACAGCTTCAAGGTATTACGACGCGTACGGTGACTCAGTGGAGAAGGAACCTTTCAACCTCTTGAATCTCACAGATTCTGCTTGCCGATGATTAAAACACGTGATCGTCACAAGTTCAAAGATACTCAAGCTCAACGCTGTGCGTTGTGCCTTGTTCACAGGCGTTTACAAACTAGGCCTGCTAAATTCAGGGAAGTGAAGTTCCGTGTCGTTTCGCTTGGGACGCTGAATGGAGTCGGCATCATTGGTGAACTCAATGGAAGAGACGGCGGTGGGCACGGGGACGCCAAATGCATCCCAGACACAAAATAGGCAGAATGTTCAGGTAAAACGGAAGAGATGGGTTTATCAATTAACTCCGAAACTATTCTTTGAGACCTAGATAAGATTCGAGTAAACATGTCAGTATTAATGGGGCCGGAGGGTATATCACAGGCTGGTAGTCCACCTGAATTATTGTCAGCCACGACAAAGCATTAGCCTACTCTTTACCACACACTATCATTCTCAGGCTAACGACGGGATCACTTACCGGGTTGCTCATCCGTTACTATTTTGTACATTTGCATCTAGGATCGTGTGATCCAGGCCAACGTGAACCTACTTCCTTTAGGATATAAAGGAGGAAATGACGGTTACTCTGTTAATCTTTGTCATTTTTGCAATAGACACAAAAATAAATCAGCGTAGGTTTCTCGCAACGAAGATGCAGAGAACATATTCGGAGCTTCAAGTTAGTGCACCGGTCATTGTCAGTCCTACTTAATCCACAGAAAAGATGATTTGTCGCATAGCATTATTCTGCCAACTCGGTGACTTCAAATCTCTCCTAATACATCCTACGTATTCCAGGGGCGGGTCCAGGAATTTTTCCAGGAGGGGTCAGGCCGGATATTCTGTCTCATTTTTCTTGCGGACAAGTGGAAGTGAAGATGAAATATTTCGTTATACACGTTGTTACAATATGGTATTGGTGCACTTAATTTAGTTATTTTTATTATTTTCCCAATTTTTCAACCACTTTCTAGGGGGTCCTCCCTGATCCGCGCCTGAACTGTAATTTACTCTGAAATGCGCATAAGCGGTTTGACTGTGGTTAAGCTAACCGATAATATTCTACATTAGCGCCTTTCAATATTCAGAATGGTATTGACACACAACATTGTATTTTTAATGATACTGTTACGCTCCCACAAACTGTTCCCCTATATGCATGCAGATTATAGTGTACTCGCTACCACACGCACCACTTACCCCACAGCGAGCGCGCAATGACCATCTACACGTAGATTACATGCGTTGTAGAGCACACAGCGCATTGCATTCCCGCGCGACCCCTTTGCTCTATGTTGCAACATGCCCTTGAACCGCAACTCCGAAGCACAATTCCAACTTAGTCATTTTCTCCCAAATCTTCCTCGGAGTCGATCTTACTTTCAATCGCACATATATAACCCGTACATTCGACCCGCACATATACCAAACTCATACCGTATGTATCCCACCAAACCACGCACCAAAAGCCTGTGTCTGGTCACGGCACAGCGAGGTCAATTACCTCCGCTCACCCTCAGTTTTACCCCGGAAGAATTACGTGTAGATTTCCTAGCCGTCTAGAGACTAAGTGTAATACACAACCCAATGAACCGAGAAAGGCTCACCCTTTCCTTGACCAAGTCCCCCGTAGCTCACTCACGAACAGACTTTCACCCTCCCGCTCCCAAACTTCTCGGACCTTACTGCTCTCCAGAAACTAAGTCAGCGAAGACCAAGTGTGTACAAAATCCCCATAGACCTTTTTTCCATAGACTTTCTACTTTGAATTATTCCTAACCACCCCAATACAGTGCTCCCGTAGGCTAAGATGCAGCCCCAAAAGTCTATATGGGTCCAGTCCACTAGATCAAGCCCCATTGAAAACAGTGTAAAATCAGCCTGTTCAGGGCCCAATAG